AAAAAAAAAAAAACAAAACAAAAAAAACAACACAGACAAGTTCATCAATTTTCAAAGTAGCAGGAAAATAGTTCTAGTGAAATTATGCAATAGTTTGTAAGACAAAAAACACCAGCCCTAATTGCCATCCTCTTCCATCCACATATCTAGAAGTGCACGCCGGTTTTCTTCCATTTCTAGTCCAAGAAATGTGTACAGGCTCCACGGGTCACGAAACTTCCTCCAAGCTACCTTTCGAACCGGCATAGGAACACCAGCCAAGGACTCCAGCTCCCTTAAAGCATGTTGGAGGCTCTTTTGATCAGCTTCTGGACGCGCGTTTTGCTGGATTATGCGGCTTGCTTCAGTAATAGAATTCATGGCATTGTTGAATGTGGAAGTGGTCCCTTTACGGTGACGAGTGCACCTGTCACTGTCCGAGGTGTTCATTGGCTCATCACTTAACTCCTCGGGAAACAAGTAGTTGGGCGTCACTGCCGTGTTGGTTCTACGTCGCATGTCTGTTCCTACCGGTGTTTGTGTAGATGCCCTTGCACCGCTACCAGTTGCAGTGGTCCTGTTAAAAATTGTGGTCAACTCATGGTAGTGCACGCACACCCGCCTCTTCATGTCCTTGTCCTGTGATTTTGGAAAAGAGTACACTCATAAGAGGTCGTTTTTTTACAGGGATGCTCATCTCAAAATTAGAAAAAAAAAAAAAAAACAATTTGATCAAAATTAACTAACAAAAGGAAACCAAAATATTCTTGTTAAGTCATCAGAATAAACAAAACCTCTGGGAAATGCATTTTTTTTTTTAAATTCAATTGAACATGAAGTACAACTAGTCACATCAAACATATGATATCTTGTTAAGTCACCAGAATAAACAAAACCTCCGGCAAATGCATTTTTTTTTTTTTAAATTCAACTAAACATGAAGTACAACTAGTCACAACAAACATAATAGGAAACAAATGGAACAAGTGAACTAACCGTAATCCACCGGCTCCAAACTTTGTAACCGCCCGTGATCTTCCCAGTTGCAGAATTCCAACCGAACCCGGTTGTATTATGCAGCATATTGTAGAACTGACGCCACTGCACTTTCAACCGATCATGCTTACTCGTTACTTGTGTTATCTCGTAATGGTGTTCGAGACCACACATATTGTTCAATGCTTTTTCGATATCCATCCAATTGCTTGTTTTGAACTTCTTCCATACGCACTTCCCCAAGATAACTTGGTCCAGCATCAACGATATTAACCGACCCTCATTCTCCGGAGGCCACTTTGCTTCTCCTTCTTTATTTTGCGTACACCCGCCTTCAACCGATGTCGACATTTACAATGTTTCACCACAAACAGCTCCGACATAATAATAAACAACTAGTCACAACAAATATAATAGGAAGCAAACAGGACACGATAAATTAAAAATTCTGCATCACACAACTAAACGCATCTACCCTCATACAAATCGACTTGCACGAGGCACCATGTGTTAAGCACGTAGTTCACTCCTTACGAAAGAATCATCAACGCAACATGTTGGACAAGCAAAAATTAAACAAAATAAATAAAAAAATCCAACTCGGCCAATTTGTGAGCAACAATCATAACAGATGAAATCCCTAATTAGTAGAATATGCAATTCATAATTATGTATTTTTATTTGTAAGTAAACCAAACCAGATACACAGTTAGTAAAAAAATGCAATCCCTAATTATGAATTTTAATTTATAAGTAAACCAAATCAGAATCCTTTTCCACTCGTTTCGGGTAATTCAAGACACATTAAGTCAGTTATAAGAACAAAAAAAGTACAGACATTTCACAAATTGAAACCGACAAACCAACCTTTCTTCTCCGTTGCGTTTTTTGTCCGGCGAATTCACCGACACGCTGTCGGTGTTTTCGGTGTGTGGATCGATCCTCTCCAGCGGAACCTCCGGCGAAAGAACATGTGGGATGGTGTTGGGCAGAGAGGGGTTTGGGATTGAGTTCATGGTTTTCCATTCACAGAGGAGGGGGTTTTATTGAAAGAGACGACTTTCATTTGTTTCATTACTGAAAGGATGTGCTATTGCTTTTTGTCACGTGGTTGGTTTGATTTCAATTTAATGATACAGATGAAATATATGTGGGGGGCAGCAGCTGTATATGTGGGCCCGCAAGTGAGAAAGGAGAAATATTTTCCTACACAATCCCAATTAACTCAATTTCATCAATTATTTCAGTTTCACCAAATTATTCCGTAAACAAGCGCCCCCTAAATAACTTGGGAAACAAGTTAATAATTCTTTATAAATACATACTCCCGGTACGAATAAAATTCTAATGCTCATTCTCACATACAATACAAATTATAAGGAATATATAAATTTTGGCGTAGGACTGCTTATGCCGATAATTGCTCCGGACTCCTTTTTGCCGGTGATCGGCTTTAACTCAAACGGTTGGACCGTTGGAATACTAGTTCATGTATTACGTCAAACGTGTCACGTCAAAGTCAATTGAATGTTGTAAAACCTCATTTTTTTATTATAGTACATGATGAAATTTAATTGAAATTAAGGAGTAAAAGTATACTAGTACAACACCCGTGTATTACACGGGTGCTTGTTAATTTTTTTTCTTAAAATCTAAAATTAATGAGAAAAAGTAGTTTGAAAATTTAAATACCTTTTATAAGAATATATATATTATTATATATTTATTGTAACACTTTTTATTTGTGCAACTTACTTGTGTTATATTATACTAACTAGTACAACGCCCGTGTATTACACGGGTGCTTGCTAATTTTTTTTCTTAAAATCTAAACTTACTGAGAAAAGGTAGTTGAAAATTTAAATACTTTCTAAAAATATTTATATTAATATATTTAGTATGACATTTTTTATTTGTGCGACTTGCTTGTGTTATATTATAATAATTTTTAACTTACAACATATAACTACATTAAACATAAATATATCAATTGAGAAATAATTTTATTTTTCTATTGAATTTTAGTAAATATTATTATTTTTTATTATTATAAAGATAAATATAATTTATTTATTTAATATATACAATATGGATATCAAATCGAAGATCATCAAAAGATGATTAATTTAGTATATTATATATGTAAAACCGATAAGAAATACAAAAGTTATCAACTTTTAAAATAAATTTACAATTCAATAGCTAATTGTAGGAAACAAATTAAAAGTCAGGGATATATTAGTGACTCACTATCTAAAATTACAAAGAATTAAAGGGTTATGTTAGTACAATTGATATTAAAATACCAAAGTTAGCAAAATAATATTTATGGAATGTCCGAACTTAAATTATTAATTATTAATATATAATATTATTTGTCCAAACCTAACTACGAATCATGATTCTTCGCCAAGTAGGATTCCGAAGCACCAGAAGCAGCCACGTAGGCTCAGCGCATTCGGGAATTATATACAGGTAGGATTTTTTTAACTTATAATATATAACTACATTACATATAAATATATCAATTGAGAAATATTTTTATTTTTCTAATGAATTTTAATAAATATTATTATTTTTTATTATTATAAAGATAAATATAATTTATTTATTTTATATATACAATATGGATGACAAATCGAAGATCATCAAAAGATGATTAATTTGATATATTATATATGTAAAACCGATAAGAAATACAAAAGTTATCAACTTTTAAAATACATATATAATTCAATAGCTTATTGAAGGAAACAAATCAAAATTCAGGGATATATTAGTCACTTAATGCCTCACTATGTAAAATTACAAAAAAAATAAAGGATTATATTAGTAAAAGTGATATTAAAATACCTAAGTTAACTAAAAATATTTATAGATACCCGAACCTAGATTATTAATTATTAATATATTAATATTATTTATCCAAACCTAATTACGAAGCATGATTCTTCGCCAAATAGGATTCTGAAGCACCAGAAGCAGCCACGTAGGCTCAGCGTATTCGGGAATTATATATAGGGAGGATGCTAAAAATATATCTAAATACTATATATTTTATATTTTTAATTCACACTCAAATATCACATTTATTGGCTGTGTCGTGTCTCCCTAGACAAGGCAAGTGCAATTTTAAGACACACGAGAGTGTGAGTGAGCAGCGATGGTCTACTTACCTGGTGGTTCATTGTTCAGAAACTTGGTTGGTACGGAGGGGCTGAGGGGAGAGCCTTGAAAGGAAATAAAACTGTTTCTCGTCCTCAAAATTCAATACTCGAGCCGACTCAACTCGACTCGACTCGATTCAACTAGCCAGTAGTACGATACACTACATCCAACCAAACGCCAGGCTCTCAGCCCATGTAAATTCTACTGTAAAATTAAATTTTCCTCTTTGTAAGGGCTTTGCATGTAAAACCAAAACCAATCACTCCTTTTTCTTTTCAGAATATCATAATATTTGATTCATATAAAATTATACATACAGAGAGAAAAACCATTTCTATTGAAAGCCCTTAATCCTTTTTTTCATTGTCGGGAGCAATCTGCTTGTTTAGGTGTTCGGGAATCTGATTCGTCAACATTATCAAATAACAGGAGATAGAATAATTGACAGAAACGCAGATTTGCGTGGAGATCGATTCGATAAATTTTCCCCAAAATTTGAAATTTGGGTTTGCGATTCGGCTGGAGGCGATTTAATCTAGGGTTTTTTTTGGCCCTGTTGTGCCGCTTTACAAGGTAAGCAGAAGCTTCAAGATACAATTTTTGTCCCGTTTACTTCTTTGTTGTGGATTTTATGTTGGAATGGTTTCTTTTATTTATCTGTTAATTAATTTATTTGTCGTTTTTCCTATCAAATGATTTTCTGGATCCATATGAATCTGCTATGCTGTAACGCGAGGGGGAAGTTATTACCTTTTATTGATAAAATACATTCATCTTCGTTCTTGTTTTATGTTTTCTGTTTCTATGAATCTTATTAGGGTAAAGGCTCATGACCGTTGTTGGCTCAACGAGGGCAGAATCGACGGCTGTGCGTGCACAGATTTCTTCATTTAATTAGCTTATTTAGGAGAATTAAAAACAGAAAGCTCTTTGCTATGTTGGCTTCAAATATCAATGGAATCAGTTTGGTCAGCTGCTTTTTTCATTTTGCTGAGTGGCATCCTATTGAATAGAGTTTCTGATCGGACGTCAGGACCAATATCTCTTTTAGGCAGAGGGAAAAGGTAATCTTTATTTTGCTTCTGTTAGAAAATTTGGACATTGAGAAGTAGTAATCTGCCTGCACAAATTTATGTTTATGGGAGGATTCAAACTAAGTATGTCTACTTTAGTTTCCCATTTGTTGTCTGAGTTCCATTTTGTAGGTTATATTAGGATGTTCATTGTGGGATTTTATTTGATGAATGGGTTTTCTTCATTTTTCCGGTTTCTTCAGGTATTACAATCAAGCTTGTTGCTTTCCCCATTGTGTTGTAAATTAATTCGGCGGTACATTTTCTGCTATGGCAAAGTTCGTTAAGAGAAATTCGATCGAGGAAGTAGCGGAGATGGGGTGTTTTGGGTGCTTTGGTTTCTCGTTTTCGAGGAAGCCAAAGAAGGCAGTGGGGCCAAGTAGGGGTATTATGGTGAATAATAATGCATCTCACGAGTACCTGTTGGATGATGACGTGGAAGATGATGACGATGATGAGGGTGGTTCTTCTTATAATGGTGATATTATGACCGACACGGGGAATGGAGAGGATTGCGACTTTGTGAGTCCCAGAAAAAAATCGGAGGAGATACTCATGAACCGTTTGCAACAGGGTTTAATATGCAGGGAATTTCCAGTTAAGGAGACCCATGCTGTGATTCGGTCTGAGGTGAGTGATATATCTATTTTTTATTTATTTTTGTTTACATTAAATAAACTACCAGCAATGTTTTATTTTTGACCTTGAAATAGGGTCTCGATTGTATGGATTTGTAACAGTGAAGTCTACAAATAACTCTTTTGGTACTTTAGGGCGACTGAAATGCATCATGTTTTTAGCAAGCTGAATCGTGAAGTTATTGTAGCATAAAAAAGTTGAAAACGTTAATTGAAGTTGACTGATTTGATAATTAGCGATTAATGATCGAAACAATGCCATCCATGGGTTTATATGGAGCTTCAGATTTGAGGAAATTCAGACTCAGTGAATTGTGATTTTCTTGTTCTTAGTTGGAACTCTTGTTCACAATGATGTCACTCATCAGTTCGTACGTTGATAATACTTAAAACATAAAGAATAATAAAAAATCTGAATCCGGCGTCATAGACTGTTCCAAATGGGGTAGGGTAAGGTTATCACACGTAGTTTTATGTTGGTAGAATGTTGATTATGATATTTTCAGTAATGCATCAATTATTGATGGTAATCTTTCAGGATGAAGATGGAAACAAGACGGTTAATGAATATGTTCGTGAACGCAAGATTGGAGCTGGAAGCTATGGTAAAGTGGTGAGCATAATGGTTTAATTGTGATATTCTCTTGGTTTAAATGTTATATTCTCTGGATTTGTTTCATGGAACCCAAATTGTAATTTATGTCTTTGGAAATGTTTAGGTTCTCTACCGAAACCGTGAAGATGGCAAACATTATGCAATAAAGGTAGTGCCTCTATCATGCTTGTTCAAGTATTTTGAGTATTTAAATTTCTTTATGGTGTTTTTGTAGTATTACCATTTGCCCAAAAAAATTTCTGTAAGTAGAGAGATTCTCAAGATTCCTTTTTTTGCTTTACCCCAATTGAGCACCTCATTTCTGTAAGTTTTAGATAGATGTTTTTGGTTTGGAGTATCATTTGGATATTCATGAATCCAAATGCATCAGTGAGTGATTGTGATTTCTAATCATGCTAGGGATAATCGATGCTTGTTCAACATAGTCAAAAACGTCCAGAAATAAATGAAAAGCTTATTCACATTTTCATCAGTTATTTTTGTGAACACAGGCGTTTCACAAATCTCACCTATTGAAGCTACGAGTGGCACCTTCAGAAACTGCAATGACTGATGTTCTCCGTGAGGTATCTAATACTTTTCTTCTTATGCATTATCTTTGAGAGATGACCAGTTGGGTTTTTTGGTTTGTACTTTGTGGTGTTCTTGCTGCAAAACTTCTGATCTTGTTTGTTTCTCATTTTCTTTATATCTCTTGTGCATTGTACTTTACTTTGGCTTTGGATGTGTGCTGTTCTGTTGTGTAATTTGCATGTGTCCACCCATTAAATAATTATTATACATTGATCAAACATCTCTGTGCTTGTAATTTCCATCTGTGGCTATTGCTTGTATAATGCAACATATCTTCAGTGCTCCAAATACTTGGTTTTGCCCACCGCACAGTTATGTTGTCACAATCGCTGTCTTTTTGAATTGTTGACTGATTATCTTATCTATTTTGTCAGTTGTATACAATTTGTTTTGCACTGTGCCGGCTGTTTATTCTGACTTTTTGTATTTCTTCCAGGTTTTAATAATGAAAGTAGTGAGCCATCCTAATATAGTCAATCTAGTTGAGGTTATTGATGACCCAACTGCAGATCACTTCTATATGGGTATTATGTCTTTTCTTGTTTTTTCTCTTCCCCATCCCAAATTTTGCCGTCTTTTGAGTTGATTTCAAGACTTCTTTTATTTCAGTTCTTGAATATGTTGAAGGCAAATGGGTCTGTGAGGGTGCTGGTCCTCGGGGTGGTATAGGTGAAAATACTGCACGCAAGTATTTACGTGATGTGGTTTCCGGTCTGATGTATCTTCATGCCCATGTATGACGCTAAGACCAAATTGTTTCGATTTAATTTATCAGTTTGGTTTAGCTTTCAAACCTTTGTCTCCCAACTTCCTGCTTCCTGTATATATTGAGACGCATATTGCAAAATTTACCCTACTCTTTGCACATCAAATTCAGATGTTGTTATGTCTTAAAGGTCTAAATTTTAATTATTTATAACAATCATATTAATTTGCCGGTCCTTGGAGGTAATAAGGGGGACTATCAATTAAAATTTAAATTATTTACTTAATTTATCTTAGTACCAGTCGGCTGGAAGATACTGTCAAGACTTTACTATTAAAAACTGACGAGTTCTGTACCATGTCATTGAGTCCTACTTGTCTTATTTTTTACTTGTAATAGTCTGAATCAAATTTACGTTATGTAAGTGTGTCAATCGCTGGCAACTGAGTTTTTCAAATTGAGAGCTATGCATCCTATTCTGTTGGTCCAGTGTAGGAAGCTAAGAATATGATTTTTACAAAAATATATTTACATTTTTCAGTTTTACATTCCCTATTCAGATGGTTCTTGCAAAAGTGTGTGTGTGTGTATGTGTGTGGTTCATACGTCTTTCACTTGCAAATCTGTGTGGTGACTTCATTACAGATCTGCTTGGAAATAACTGTAATTTTAGTTCAAATTTATTGGTTTATTATCTTATGTTTGCAATTGTCTTCGGCATTTGAATTGAAAGGGATAATTGTAGATGTGCCGTGGTACATTGTATGGTGCCATCTAGGCTGCATTAGTTTGACCTGGCAATACTTTTTCGATAGTGTGATTGGGTATCTTTAACCCGGATTTTTCATGCTTGCTCCTTCACTTTCACTTAACTAACATTGCTTTTAAATGACTTTTTACTTCTGCGACTGACAGAATATAGTCCATGGGGATATTAAGCCTGACAACTTATTAGTTACTGCATCTGGGATTGTCAAGATTGGTGATTTCAGCGTTAGCCAGGTTTTTGAGGTAAGAGATCTTTATTTTTTGAGCTGCCACTGGTTTAAGCATTATATTGGTTGATAACATATTGGAGATTTTAGTTTGTTGATATGCCACTGCTTTCAGCTTTTAATTTATGCCGTGAATGAGTTGAGTCTGGGTAAAGGTGCACCGACTCATTTCTGCATACTTAGAAGAAAGCTTTTCAATGTCTACCATGAGTTATTGGTGCAAAGTATGAAGGCATTGGAGTACTTTGTCTATTTGACAAAGTAAATAAATATGCTTATTTAATTAGTTGTATTCCAATGATTTAAAAGAGTTGCAGTGGCAAGAGTGTGTTAGACCTTAAATTTGCATCTGTGCCAGTCACGTGGATATTTTCCCCTCACTATATATTCTACAGGGTGAAATCTCTGTGTCCCTCAGGGCTTAGGCCAGCAACTTTGAATGTTGATTACATAATTATAATAACTCTTGATGTTTCAGTCTCGTGATTTGGCTTGTGTCATTTCTGTTATGATTGTCTGTTATCATTAATTTTAGCTCCAAATTAGTGGATGTTTGTTGTTCCTCATGATATGATATTTGATATGAATGTTAGCATCCTCTTTGAACGTTAAGCGTTATTTTATTACTAAATGAATTTGCATATAGTTCTAGATTTCTTAGAATCTGCATCAAGGTGCATCATGCTAACGTTATTATCTGTTGATTTCTGAACACTATTGCCTAGTCAACTAACGTATTGGATTTATTTCTGTATGGATCTTATGAAAGAGCCTAATATAGTTTAGCATTAAAGATCCTAGTGAACCATTCAGTTTAAGTGGCTCCAAAATCATTTAATTCATGAGTATAAATGAAATTTTAATTTCCACCATTCTGGTTAAAAATGTTTGTAGTTGAAAATATCTGCAAAAAAATTAGAAGGATATACCTTTATTTGAGTCTGCACATTATATGGTTTGTCTCTAGTCGATGTAGTTTTTATCACTGGAAGAAATACTGGTGTTATGTTGGTTTCTGTTCCTATTTATGTTCCACTTTGACCCTGGGAGCCGAAGAAGTATTTGATTTAGAGTAACGCTGTATGTACATAATAATTTGTACATCAGGGGATACATGCACCCACATTGGGTGGGATCCATCTAAATCAAATGTTCAAGTGAACCCTACCTAAATGAGATTATGTACGCCACTATGTACAAATTATCATGTACATGCAGAATTATCCGTTGTTTTATTTACTTGCGCATCATAAATATGTGAGACCTACTTTGACCTATTGCATTGAGGGTTCGTTCAGATCATTTCTTATATTGACAGGAAATAGATTTCTGTGTTACAAAGTCCTGTACAGAAAAAGGAACATGTTAACTAAAGACCAACTACTTTCTCTTTGCTTGTGAATTTTTGGCAGGTGCTGTCTCATTCTGATTATTCAGTTTACATTTTGGTTCTTATGGAGTTTATATTTACCTGTTGCACAATGTCCTTATTTGATAGACAATCCCTTTACATCTTATGAAAGGCAGCTCTAGAATATCTTATGGGTACATCTTCCTGTTGAACAAATATCTCTATTTGATAGTCACTCACTTGTACATTTTATCTACAAAACGGCAGCTCTAGAATTATAACCTCTCGTTCGAATTGTGTTCTCCTAAGAACACCAAATAGCAACTAGTTAAGCATCATAGTTATTAGTGTTTCGCCTAAAATGGACTGTGAAGAGGAAGTTTCCGGCGGAATATTTTGTGAACCTGCTTGATTTGCGTTTAAGATTCAGCGTATTTCTTGCTTTTTAATTTTGATTGCACGAAGCAAACTTGGAAGTAGAATAAGCCGTTTACAAACGCTAAACTCATCTTTTACCGTAACTACAGCTATGAACCCCATTCATTTTAGATTTGCATTTGCTGACACTCCTATGTATATACACTGTAGTTGGTAAGCTGAATCAGAAAGTTTGATTCAATATCTCTTCATAATCCCGTTCATGAGGAATGAATGATACAGGACTTCAATTTAGATTTGACCAATTGACTAGTATAAAATTCTTCCTTTCCTTCACCATGTACAACAATTTTTTTAACAAGATCATCATAACTTGTATGTGTAGGATGATAACGACGAGCTTCGCCGTTCTCCTGGTACCCCTGTTTTTACTGCACCTGAGTGCTGTGTAGGTCGGTATTTTCTTTGTCTAAGTAACTTTGCCTTTTGCCGTAAAAAATTAAGAGAACTTGGTTTCAAACAAAAATTAATGTTTAATATCATGGCAATCTTATCTTATGCACCAGGCATAACCTATCGTGGGAAAGCTGCGGACACTTGGGCTGTTGGAGTTACTTTGTATTGCTTTGTTCTTGGGAAGTACCCTTTCTTAGGAGAGACTCTACAAGACACCTATGACAAGGTGGGTTTCTATTCCAAGTCTCGAGGAGTAACTATAACACCTCGATATTACGTATCTAGAAATTTCAATTATACCTCTAAGAAATGCAAATACACCTTTTTGAGGTATTGGTGAAACTTCCGTGAGGATGCAAAGTTTTAGAATTGAAACAAATATCAAGGGTTTCCATAATCTTTTGTCGAAAATAGAATCAATTTGTGGTGGACTGTAATTATATTTGTTTCCTGTGTCAGATCGTAAATAACCCGTTGTTGCTTCCCAATGCAATGAACCCCCTTTTGCGAGACCTTCTTGAGGGTCTTCTCTGCAAAGGTCAGTCTTATCTTGATTTCATTCATAATCTCGTCAATAACGTCTATTTATTTATTTCTTTCTTTCTCCCTTGTTTTCAATGAATTTTAAAATCTGATGTGCAGATCCAAGACAAAGGATGACACTTGAGAGCGTGGCACAGCACGCCTGGGTCGTCGGTGAAGATGGGCCCATCCCTCTGTACTCGTGTTGGTGTAAGCGCGGTGAGGGCCCGTAATTGAGACCGTACTTTAATACCCCACAAGTATCGCTCTCGTTTGTGATTGTGCCTGTTTCTTGTAGAAAGTTAGTTGCAAAAAGAATGCTTGTACTTGGGTTCGGGGATTGCCTGCGAGAAACTTCGCACAAAGAAAGTGAGTGGTGAAAATGTGAATGGATTTGAGGATTGGCAAGAACCATAGGGCTTTGGTGTAAATGGATTGAAAAGAAAACAGGAGACATTTTTGCTTGACAGAGTTTGTTTGAATGCTTCTTTCTCTTCTAAATTGAATTTCAAACAAATGTTGATTGTCATGTGTGCATACACTTGTCCCTATGATGATAGATTGGCCCTTTTTTCTGTCCGTTTTTGTATGTCTTACTTATTGTGCATAGCAACACAAGGAATATGGTCGTGATGGACGCCATTGTTGTGATGAAATTAGCAAGCCTGTGATTTTATATTATTATTATTATTATTATTATTATTATTTTTATATTTTTATGGTCTTCATTTTTTTACGTTATTAACTTTTTAACTAATCAAACAAAAGAAGTACATTACATAATGAGTTGTGTCAAACATATTACAATTTTAGAATAATAATGAAAGATTGCATGAAATTTTAGTTGCCAAACTTCCATTTTTCAAGTTAGTGTTGTATGTTCGAAATCTTTTTAGTTTGAGGAAGATTGAAAAATATGCACGGTATAACTCAATGAAATTCTTTTACAAGAATTGCATGAGACATTTTACAATTATCTTTCTTATCTTTGTTGAAGAAGATTATTCTTTGCCATTATTTTTATTAAGTATTTATAACAATAATAGTTCAATTGACATCTGCTAACAAAAGTTTTAAAATATTACTAGTTTTAACCCGTGCATTTGCACGGAAAGCTATATCATAGAGAAAAATATAGTAAAAATTATAAACAATAGTAAAAATATGACATAATCATTGGGAAAAAAGTTTTAAGAAAAAAAAATAAATATTATTATACACTTATTTAGATACTACGTTTGTAGTTTTCGTACTATCAGAAAGTCCATTATTACAAATCATTATCTCAAAATCCTCTATCTCTAACCAGTTGGTTTAGTTCCTTTTGTAGGAGTCTTATGCTGGTTGGGAAACATCACCGGTCTCTATGCTATTTCATTAGCCATGGCTTGTTAACCTCCAAGCAATACGTGTTTTCTTTGTTTTTAGGGCGCCTTAGTGTTCCTCTCTTTCAACCTTGTGGTTGTGTATTGGGTTAAATCAACCTTCCCTATTGTACATTAGTTTGGAGCTATAAAATTTCTCGTTTTGGAGAAAAAAAAATCATCCGACTCGTAACTATAGAAAATGCCGCGTACATTGCCCATAACTAAATACATGGCTCTTCAGTAGTAGGCCGAAATACGACAGAGATTGCCCTTGACTCTTGTTGATTGTCATAGCATAAAAAATCATGAGCGAGAACCGTCTGCGCTGAAACTTGAAAGGTACCCTTAGTTCATATGGTATGATTGTGAGCATAGGAATATGAACCTTGTCACAAGCTCTGTCACCGGTCAAAATTCTACATTCGAGGACATGACTGATGAGCTTAGTATCAACCAATCATGTACCTGTTGGCCCAAAAATTTGGAAAAAAAAAATCATATCACTCGTATCTGTACAAAAATCAATCGAATACGAAATATTAGGGATTGCTGATCTTTGGAACCAAGGTGTTACCGTAAACAAATCATATAACGCACAACAAAAATTAAATTTATATAGTTAAATTATACCATGCAATTTATTTATTACAATTTTGATATACAACATGTATAATTTTGATAATGTCAAACTTTGTATATTAAAAAGTTGTCACAAAATAATATTGAGCAAATATAAAAACATGAAAGTTTGTAATATAACAATTACTATATTATGTATGAAACTTTGTTCCCGTTGTTTATATATAATTCCTCTATCGTTCCGAAAAAAAAAATACATATACTTATTTTAAATTATTATGTATTAGATAAAAGTTATTTTTTAATATATTATTTTTGTTTTGGGCCAGTTATTTAAAAACGTTCAGCCCAAAAATTAAATGTATTTTGGGCCATTCTTAGAAACTTATTTGATAGTATTACATAGTGGGCTGCTTTTAATAACCAAAACATGGAAGACTGTACAAAAATTTTGCATTCAAAATTTGAGCTTGTATTTAAAAATTGAGCCCCTTTTTTTTATAAGTCCAATTTTATATCCATTCAAAACTTATGTTCTGAACATTTTGTGTAGCGTTTTTAAAATAAAGTCGTTCCTGCATGTGGACAAAATGCCACAAGCCCCACACACGTGTAAGACTCATGTATTCATTTAAATTGAAAGCAAACCCTAAAATGGTTAATGAATCGCCTCATGTCGGCGCTTCTCTGTCTCTCTTCCATATTCTCTTCGTTTCAAATTCTATTCTTCAGCATCAATAAAAATTTTCTCCGAGATTTAGATGAAGTGTATGTTTAATCGGCGATTCTTTAACGTTTTTCAGAAGGCCACTGAAAAAACACATGAATTTCTTTTATTCGAGGTAATAGAGAGATCGAAAAAGCTAAATTGACCCGATTTTACAAAATCGATTTACTAAGTTATAGTATTTCGGTTCAAGTCGGGCAATAACAGCTCAGATCTATGAAGATCTAATTTTTTTTTGAATTTTAAATGTATTTGGTTTGGGTAAATTGATTTATGTTTTTTTTTTTTTTTCAAACGATTTAAGGTGTTTTTTATAATTTTTTATAACCTATAATTTTATGTATATTACCAGATCTGTTATTATATTCATAGGACTATGTTTTTAGTTTTATTACCAAATTTTTGTGAAATTTTGAGGTATGTAAAGATTTCAAAGTATATTATTCTAAGTTTTTATAAAATAGTCCAAATATTGAAAAGATCTGTTTACATATGAAGAACTTTTACATTTTTTTTATGTTTTTATAAAATAGTCCAAATATTGAATAGATCTCTCCAACATGTGAAGCACTTTACATTTTTTCAAAAACAATTGTAGATCCATGTTCAAGAACAGTATGTTTTGTTTCTTTAAATTTAAGCTCAGTTTTAACAAATCGATTGTAATTGTTTTTTCGATTTCTTATATGTTTTACAAAGATTAACATTTGTATCCAAATTTATGTTCGCATGTTGAAGTATAGTCAAACCGTAAGCTCCCAAGCAGTGGGAGGAGCCATAGCTCTGACCGCGTGCCTGTTGAAGAATGAGCCAGCGACTTTGTAATAAAATGTAAGTTATATTTCTAATAAATATGTATTTGCTGTAACAGATCTGCGGGTGCATCAAGATATGCATGAAAACATTATTATTATGTGTACAAACAACAAACATTTCAAAAAACTGAAATGAAACAGTAGTCAGAGGTACGTTTTATTTTCATTTTATTTACTCGCAGGTTTTGATGTTGTTAGTCTTAAATGGTTGTTCCAAAATATTTATAAAAAGTTGCAGCCAACCAAATACTACCTCCTATTTTTAATATATGTCGTTTTGAGAAGTTGCACACTAATTAAGAATATTTTTTTTTGTCAATAATAACCTTATTTAATGAAGATAGAGATGAATGTTTTGAGAAAAAATGAAGAGTGAATATGAAAAGACGTAATGTATTTATTAGCTAAATGAGAGTAATAATGGAAAAATATATACAAAAGATCCAAAACGACATTTATTTAGCAAATAGTTGATAAAGGTAGAATGACATTTAAGAAAAATAGGAGGGAGTATTTATTAACCTAAATGATAAGTATTATTATGATTTTATTTCCATAAAGAAACTTTCTGATCCTGACTTGTTACATTCATCTAACAGAGTTCTTCTTCATATGAAGATACAATTGATGAAATTGCGTGACAAATGATGAAAGCTCAATAACATACAGACTACATCACAATGGTAGATGCTTTTTTCTGAAAAGGTATAATAAAATACTTGTCCACCAAAATAAATAAATAAATCTGATTACACGGCAAACAACATGTACATTATTGTGTGCTTGCGTGTTTGCTGTGTTTACTTGCATGTGTATCATATAGTTCTCATATCTCTTCCTAACATACGATAATATGTTTTGCTGTTTCTGAAAAGTTTGGACTCTGTTTGCTTTAATCCTTGGCTGATTCTAAAGCTCTGCAAAATATTTATCTCGTCTATCTTTCATGTGATCTCTTCATGAAGTTTGGGTGTCTGCATGTATAGAATTTCTTAACTGTTTTGGTTAATCTGAAAAAATAAAAAATGATTATCTTTCAAGAGGTAGAAAAGGTGAATGATAACAAATGGTTGATTGGTAGGGTTATATATAGAGTTTTTCCTTGGGAACAAATCTCTTTTTAAATAGAAGATTTCATTAAATTTAATAAGAATGAGGATATCAAGGAATTTTATTTCATATTTTATGTTTGATACTGTCGTTAATGTGAGAAAAAAACTGATCAGTTTTTTACTTTTTTTCATGATTTATGTGAATGATTTATTTTATGTTATGAATGCAATATGTTCTTTGATAATGCATTAATTGATTAATGACTTAAATGAAAATTTCACTAATGCTTTATGTGTGCCTTTTATTGAATTTATTGACTTGGATTCTTGAATTTGGTAATTAGGTGTTGCCGCATGAACCCTGAACATATTAGGTTTGAATTAGTGATTTTGTTTTTAAAATCATGATTAATTGTTGCACGTTTATTGGGCTTTTGATATGGTTATATTAGAGGTTAAAATTAGTTTATTATCAATAATTATAATTTTTATTAAAATAATTAGATATGCTTTTAATTGGTTCTTTTGAGAAACAAATACAAATTTGCCAATTATCTAGATTTTTTTTATGGTCATTTTCTGATTTTCAGCCTTACTTGTATAATTTAATAGGTATAAAATGTGCAATAATCATGGGATATTAAAGTTTGAAAACTAAATTCTAGAAAAATGCTTTATTCTTTGACTGCCACA